ACACGGGCCATGGCTTCACCAACTACCATATGCACAAGCTGGGGCTTAGCGACAAGTGCAGAAAGTGTGGACATGAGGAAGAGACTACTCTCCACGTGTTGTGTGAATGTCCAGCGATGCTGGATACAGGCGGCTTTTACTGGGCTCGATATTCCTCGAGCCCGAGCAGTTATGTCAACTTTAGGTCAGGGATCTCCTTCGCTTCTGGAGGAAGACTGGTCTGAGCTGACCTGGGGTTAGTACGGCTGGGAAGACAATGGACTTGGTCTGCGTGTAGTTGGTGGGCCCCAATTAGGGGCTGCCTTCCAGGATATTATTATTATTATTTATTATATGTATTAAATATTATATTGAAACACAAAAAGTAAATGTTAGGTGTTGAACTTAATTCCTGCCGTCTCCAAAATTGATTTGTTTTGAAGGGAAATATCTAAATCAAAGTATTATTAATAAAGTATTATTAATTAGTAATAAAGTAGAAAATGGAGGAAATTACTTTGAATAAGGTATTCATTCATCTTCCCTTCGAAACAAATCAATTTTGGAGACAAAAAACGGCAGGAATTAAATTCAACACCTAATAATTAAATTCTTATTTAGTCCGACTTTTGATTATTTATTGCCGAAATTAGCGTTAATGTGCTTATACATAATGCGTATGTTATAATTTTAATAAAAGATAAAACTAAGTCTTTTTTAATTCAGATGCATAAGCTCCAGATTTCATCGAGTCAATGAACGTTTACGTGCTTCATATTGTGATCTGTTCGAAAGTAGCGCAGATTACAGAAGACAAAACAGATCCATCTTTGTGCATCAGCGGATAACAGAAACTGAAGATCACAATCAATATATATGGATTATAATGTAATTATTGCCTAATAGAATTACTGTCTACACACATGCATGCGAATGTATATATGTATACAGAATGTCTCAGTCTAACTTTCACATCGACATATTTCAAAAAGTATTAAAAAAATGTTTTCTATGAAAGTGCAACTACTTCGAGCGATGCCTATTGTGATCACGATATTCTTTTCTAAATAGAGATACGATGAGAGACGCAATGAACAAGATATAATGTTCGTCGGCGATTTTTAAAATGGACTTATATGATTTTTTACGTAATATGATTTTTCTATAATCATTCTACATTTAAAAGTATTAAGAAATATAAAGAACCAATAATTCACGAAATATTATAGATACATTTCTCTGGCACATAATTGACATGACACATTAAATATCTCGTAAAACCATTAATTTTTTGATAATCGTAATATGCTAATACTTTTATGAATAGACTAATGAGATAAATCAGGTGTAAAGATAAGATATACTTGTTTGTTTAACAGAATTATTCATTGTGCGTACGTATTTTTTTGATAAAACTTTGAAAAATGGGCAACCATTCACAAATTTCAATAATCCTGACATGTATTTTCAAATAAAATTGATGATATTAAGGTATATTTAATACTTCGTTTCTTTTCAAAATGTAGTAAAGTAGACAAGTTATCTGTTTTAAAACACATATTCTCTCCTTTGAAACACATATTCTGCTTTCGAAACGAAATTAATATAAGAAAAAAGTGGCCAAGTTAGAATATCATAAAGCAGGAGAAAGGTCGGTCTTTTAAGAAGGAAGTGGATTTTAAAGGATTAAACAATACGCATTAATACGTGTCTGCGAAGTAGAGTCTTAATGCTAAGAACGACAAAAAATTTCGAAATTAAGATTTTCTTTATCATTTCTTAGTCCAATATGGTACTCCAAAGCTTACGTCGTAACAATATTTGCTTCATATAATAGCTGTGCAATCTATATTTATGAAATAGTAATTCATAGAATAGTCGTTTGCATGAAAAACCAAAGTGGATTTTTTAAAATTGGACTTAGACGTCCAATTAGAACGTTAATGTATACGAAAATTTACGAATACCGACATGTGCGTGAGATATTGATGTAGTAGAATGTAGTGATGTAAATGACACATAAATCTTCGGCGTGCAAGTCGATGTACAACATGGCTATTCGTCTTTACGATCCCCTTAAAATTATACGGTGGAAAAAAATTTAAATTTGAATAGGTATTATAGTCGATTAAATGTAGAAGCAGAGAATTAAAGATGTTTTATACATATTTTCAAAGAGAAAACAAAATTATGAAAAAATTATAGATTATTACCATAAATCACGTTTAAAAATAATACTACAAAAGTAATCGTTTCTATCTGGATCATAAGTTATTTTATTAATTAGTAGCATTTTTTTAATCGGTGTTCTAATAAAAAAAAAAAAAAGTATATGAAAATGCAATATATGGAATGATTGATAAAAATCTCAATTTCTTAATAAAAGGACATTATGTATTCAGGATTATTTATGTTGAGTTACATTGCGATGCATGAACTAGTTGTCCATTAAATAAACAAAATATTGATTTGTTCTATATCTTCGTAACAATAATCAGTGAATCTCAATAAAACTTTGCATAAATTATTTTATGTGAATATTTAAAGTACTTATACAAGAGAAATGTAAACTTTTTTAAGATTAAAAAAATTTGAATTTTTAAACTAAAAATAATAACCATTAAAATAAATAATCTACAAGAATATCTTATTAAGGGGAGATATACACCTAGGAGCCGAAAAAAAGGTCATATTTGTGAATTTTTTTAAGGAAAACTATTTGAAATTTCGGATTGGGAGTTTTCGTATCTAAAAGTATACACATTCAGGAATATGTTCAATTTTTTTTATTAAAAAAAATCAAAAATTGACGAGGTTGTTGTATAATCTTCGGAGCGCCGTAAA